GCGTCTTGGTGTGCGCGTGTTGGTGTGTCCATGTTGGTGTGTGGATGTGTGTGGGTGTGTCCGTTCAACCCGTCTAATGAGTGTCAATCCACACCTTTCGCCGGCAAAACGGCTAAATGAGCGCGTCGGCAAGCAGGTCAACCAACCCAAGGCTCAGTGGCGAGAGTACGTACAAGTGCATACACAATCACGCACACAAACATCCCGATGCAGCTCTTGCAACTTGTGCATGGACACAGTCTGAAGCTGTACGTGGACACAGATGGAAGCCAAGCATCAGAACTCGTTGCTTCCTAGTGCAAGTTCACGTCAATGCTTTGGTGCGTCTTAATGCGGATGGATTCCGAGAAGGAAAAACCATCCGATTTTACTACGCACCTCAAGAATCCGACCTGCGAACATGCCACTGGACGAACGCTACACACGCCAGGCAACCGCAAGAGACACTGGCTTGTGCAGTCCGTTGAACCAGTCTGGTGAGCTTCATGACATGAACTCCAGGTGTGACTGATCTATGCTTAGCGCACTGTTCCATGCAGGCCTCGACAGCTTTAACCACAAGCATGCACGCCACTCCTCAAGCAACCGATTCAAACAACATCGGCTCGACGTGCACATTACCAGCCCAGTGCAAGACTCATTCGGCACAAGTGCATGTGCAGCCACAAACAAACAAACAAACAAACAAACAAACAAACAAACACACACACACACACAGACACACAGACACACAAACACACAGACACACAGACACACAGACACACAAACACACAGACACACAGACACGCAGACACACAGACACACACACACACACTCATGTGCAGCTTTTGCACTTTGTGCATGACAATGTCTCTATAGATCTTTACGTGGACAAAGCCGGAAGCCAATCATTAATAGCACATTGCTTCCGAGTGCGAGTCCACGTCAATGTTTTGGTGCGTCTTAATGCGGATGGACTCCGAGAAGGACAAACCATCCGATTTTACTACGCACTCCAGCAATCTAAACAATCTCTTTGAATGACATGTCAAGGCCGCTGAGGCAGACTTGCACACAATCGACGTCTGCCCAAGGCCAGATTTGTGAAGCTCGGAGTAAACAACACTGGGTGGTAAATCGGGTTCTGGGAAAACCAGTTACAGTCTGCTGAGCACAGCTTCCAAAAACAACAGAAGGGATGTTAATACTTGCTTGGCGTGTGGAAGCAGTGGCAACATGGCGTCACAGTTATGCCAACAAACTAGCACGTCGATCATCTTGATTGCTTGCTCATGTTGTTTCGCTGCAAGAGGCTTTCGGTTCAATGCTTTGGACAAGCATACCACTCGGATGCGCTCCTGCAAGATAGCATGGAACACTCCACCACAACTTTAGCTGTTTTGGAACCAATATCGCTTGGGGGCGCAACAGAAAGAGGAAAAGAGGGTAGCGCCGGAGGTCTGGCGAAATGCTAATCCAGCTGCCTAGCCCAACGCACACCGCCAGGTGGCTGGGCTTGATCGCATTTCTGGCCGGCAAGCATGTGTAATGTGTAAGGCTGCGCCAAACAATGGCCAATTGCAGAATGTCTGCTGCCTACCCAACTGCGTGCGAACGTTGATGAAACCACCAAGTGGAATTGACACCGGATGCGTTTTGTCTCCATTCATTTGGACACAGGATTGTTGTTGATGTTTCATGTTCAAATCATTGGTTGGTGATTCAGTTCAATTGTGGATGGCTTTGTCGGTGTCTAACCTTAAAAAGAGCCCCCCCAATTGGGTGTGCCTTTTTGAGGGTACACTTTTTGGCGTGGATTTGAAGGGAAACCAACAGGAAAACCGATGCCATTGGGGGGGGGGTCCCTTTAAAAACAAATACTCAGTTGGGTCAAAATTAAACAGCTGGGGAAAGTCGCATGTAGTCTTTGTGCTCATCCAGGTGCCATTTGGGGTACCCGTTTTTGAGCCACAGTCATTTGACACAAGGGTTCTAGTTGAACACAAATCCAACCTTTTGTCTGATTTTCAAGAGGGCGTCTACCCCTCGCTTGCTGAGTCGATGGCCCAAAACAAGTCCAAACTTTATATTTACCACTAAAATGGTCTTCCCAAAAAGTTTAAAGTTCATGAACTGAGGAAGTGAGACCCCGAAACAGCTCTCCCACCACTTGCCGTGAAAGCTCCCAGCCCTACGTCTCTCGTCGCCTTCGGTGCATTGGGCATTAGCCACAGAGAGCCGCTCCACGCGCGCGTCCACGCGCCGCACCGACTCCTCCAGCTGCCTGGCGAGCTCAGCACATGTAGGATAGAAGTGGGGAAAAGCCCCTTGATCCCACAACCCTGCTTGTTCCTCTTAGGGAACCGCACAATAACACAAAATGTGCGAAACCAAGAGTCTTGTGTCCTTGGCTTTGCTTCTTCTCATTAAAAAAACGCACATGCATTAAACATGTCTTCGGAAACGGTCATGCAAAAGCCGGCGACTTGGATGGTCTGGGGGCGCCCGTTCTCTTAGAAGCTTCAGGCTTCTATAAATAGACAACTGGCGATGGAACTATTGTGAACATGTCCAAAGACCCAGGACCCTAGAGATTTGGCCGCGAAGCTAAAGGGAAGTCCCCTTGTTTGCTCATCTTGCAACGGCCAGATGGGGTAACCCTGCAAGCCCGCAGGGCTTTCAGAAGAGGGTGTGGTGGTTTTTGAGACTTAAAATGCCCCAAGAGTTCGCACAGTGCGACGCTCCATGTAACCCCGCTAACCCCGTCCTCCCCCCCGCAAACTATCCTAAGTGAGTCCAAGGCTGACACACTGATAGCCATTTGGCTAACCCGAAATATCATGTTCTGTGCCCTCATAGAAGCCGAAATTCTTTGCAAAGATCCTTTTCCAAGCGGAGCTCTACAAAACCGATACCCTAAAGGAGGAGATCGCCGGCGGATGGATCCGGATGTTAAATCGGACACCCAACTTCCACCGCACCCAAGTGCCTTTCCGCAGACTGGCACTTCTCAACCTCCACAGTCAGGCCTGGCACGCGTCGGATATTTTTTGCGCACGCTTCCCCCCACGTTTTGGGTGTGCAGGCGTGCTGTGGTCGAAACTCCTGTATTTGCTATTGTCATAGTTCTCGGGGGGCACATATGTGCAAAAACGTACCGCGCAACACGCGCACTCTCTTTCGGGTGGATGACCATGTTCCAAAACGCCCTCCATGAGCCTTACCCCGGATGCGTCTTCAACGAACGTATATAAGTTTGTCCCGCACGATATTAGAATAGTGTGTCATGGATGCATAAAGGGAACACAATGAAAAGAGTGGAATTCATCTCAACCCCAATCTATCCTTGGCATCTGCGACGAACGATATCTGCATTTGTTGTCAACAGTTCCAAAGCCTGACATAAGGGATAAAGTAAGTAAAGAACCTACATCATGGCGGGCTCGTCTTGACAACCTCGCCCTTTTCGCAGATAGCATCCCCACATTGATCTGCCTGCTCTGCCTTCCAGCCTCCCAAGGGCCGACCATCCAACCCAACTGAGTCTAGGGACCCTGCCTTCAACCTTTCAAGGTCAGAACATCCCTTCTTCCACGCTTTCCTTCCCCTGGATTGGATCTGTCTGGACCATTCTGCGCCCGCTCGAATCCCAATAGCCACAAAACATCTGACCACACAGGTTAGGACTTTCTCAGTCGGCCCGCAAAACAAAAGGGCTTGGTGTTATTTGGCTCTTCCGATTTCAGCTTCCCAGCATCCTTAGCGTTTGTACTGTAAGATCAATAGTGATATAGGGATACAAGTAGCAGAAGGTGTGGCAGCAGTAGTAGTAGCAGCAGTAGTGGCGGCTGTTGAGGTGATGGTCGTGATTCATCGTAGTTCTAGAAGTAGGCGTGCTTGTGGCAATAAACCATAGTACCCATTGCGAAGGTTGGAGTGGTAGCAATAGAAGTAGAAGTCGAAGTAGAAGTAGTAGTCGTAGTAGTAGCAGTAGTAGTAGTAGTAGTAGTAGTAGTAGTAGTAGTAGTAGTAGTAGAGGAGGAGGAGGAGGAGGAGGAGGAGGAGGAGGAATAGTTGTTGTTGTAGTAGCGGTGGTGGTGGTTGTGGTTGTGGTTGTGGTGGTGGTGGCGCTCGCCGCTGCTGCTGCTGCTGCTGCTGCTGCTGTTGCTGTTGTTGCTGCTGCTGTTGCTGTTGCTGTTGCTGCTGCCGCTGCCGCTGGCTGCCGCTGCTGTTGCTGGTGCTGTTGCTGTTGCTGTTGCTGTTGCTGTTTCTGCTGCTGCTGTTGTTGTGTAGTTGTGTAGTTGGGCAGCGCCCCGAGCGTCGTAGTAGTTGTTGAGTTGTTGTAGTCGCCGTAGCAGTTGTGGCAGTAGCAGCAGCAGTAGTAGTAGCAGCAGCAGCAGTAGTAGTGGTAGTAGCAGTATAGCAGTAGCAGTAGTAGTACGAGTAGTAGAAGAAGAAGAAGCCTCGCGGCCCAGCTTGCGCGAGAGCCAACATTGCTTTTGCGCAAGAGAAAACGAACCTTGACGAAGCCGTCGAGCTTGTGATGGGAAGAGCGCGACGAGCCGCCAAGTCAAAAAAATTGGTGACGGACACTGTGTTGCGCACATCAGAACCTCTAAATTACCCCTGCAGACTTCTTGCCTTGTCGCCGATGTGGAGAATGACTCAAACAGGCCCACTGCTTGATTTCTGCCCTGCGACGCCCACGATCTATTCAAATTCTACTCGTTTCGGGCTCAAGCACACTCCCAGCGCCTCTGCGCAAGAGCACTTCTGCCTTTGCTGTTCACCCTGCGTCAGGTGCCCCGCGTACTTTCGCACAGTTACCTGGCAAGGCCTAGCAGCATGTTGTGGATCACCATGCTACTAATCCTACAAGATACTCCTGCTTTCATCGCCTGTGTGTCTCTGGCGCAGCGTTTTCTTCGCAGCGGCGAAGTCTGCAAGGCCCCGCCAACTGCACTTCGTGCAAGTACGACAGAGAACAACGGGCATCGGTACCACATTGGCGTTGTTGCGAGAAGTCGCCAGCTTTGGCGTTGGACATTTTGCTCTGGCTTCCGTGACGTCTGCTGCTCTTCCACAAGGTACGCCCGGTCTCCTCTCTCTTTGTATTCTCTTTCTTTTTCTTCCCCTGCTTGCAACAAGCGCCCAGCCCTGGCCATAACCACCGCGGCCGGAGCCATAATCAAAGAAAGCCAAGAGCTAAAAGCTATGCCGGTTTTCGGGCTTGAAGAGAAACAAGCGCCGCAGAACAGCTGGGGCAAACATGCACGAAGCACGCAAACAGTTCACCGTTTCAAGGCCAAACGTTTTTAGAAACACGAGGTTTGAGAGGTCGCCCCGTCTAAAGTGCGCGGGCGGTTCCGTCTGCGCAAGCCAAACGTGTTAAGGTTTTTGAGCTCGTCAAAAAGTACGCAAACGGTCACCGTTTCATGGCTGCACGAGCCAAACGTGTTGAAACAACACTTGGTTTTTGAGCTCGACCCTTCCAAAGTGTGTAAACGGTTCACCGTTTCAAGGCTGCGCAAGCCAAACGTGCTAAAAAGTACGCAAACGGTCACCGTTTCAAGGCTGCACAAGCCCAACGTGTTGAAAAAGACGGGGCTTTTTATTTTTGAGCTCGACCCTTCCAAAGTACGCAAACGGCTCACCGTTTCAAAGCTGCGCAAGCCAAGCGTGCCCAAAAGTACGCATACGGTTCACGGCTTCAAGGCTGCACAAGCCAAACGTGTCCAAAAGTACGCAAATGGTTCACCGGTTCAAGGCTGCGTGCCCAAAAGTACGCATATGGTTCATCGTTCCAAACGTGAGGCTTTTGAGGTCGCGAACACATCAAAGCCACACACCCCGAATCTCGACTGGAAAGAGCCACACTCAACCCACCGTTCACCCGCCTTTCCACCCCCAAACCCCCCCAACCCCAACCCCTCCCCCCAACCCCTCCCCCCCAACCCCCCCCAACCCCTCCCCCCCAACCCCTCCCCCCCAACCCCTCCCCCCCAACCCCTCCCCCCCAACCCCTCCCCCCCAACCCCTCCCCCCCAACCCCTCCTCCCCAACCCCTCCCCCCCAACCCCTCCCCCCCAACCCCTCCCCCCCACCGCCCCGCAACCCCCCCGGGTCAGCCCGCGCCTTTCCGTGCCTCCGCGAGCTCCGTGGCGGTGCGCTGCAGCCGCTCCAGCTGCTGCTGCTGCTCCGCCTCCGAGGCCCTCAGCGCCTCGCGCGCCCAGCGAGGCTTGAGGCGAAAAGCGCAGCGGAAGGGAGCGGAGGGATGGAAACCGGGGCGGAGAACGGGAAAGGGCCGTAGGTCATTGACTCAACATACCGCGCGGATGGTTGAAATCGAAATCAAAAAAAGAAAACGCGCCACCTAAGAATTCACGGCTGAAACCAGTGTTTGTTGGAATGGACGGGGGAATCATTGTTCCAGGGTTTCTTATGCGGTCCTCTTGCGCGTCCAGACAAGTACCAACCAGGAGGTCCACCAAATTGATTCTCGTGGCACGGGAATCCGAATCAATGCAACAACCCCGGTGCCCAAGTCTGCATGGGCAATCCGAAAATGGGAATTGACCCCGGACCCGCCACTTCAAACTAAGTGCAGTTGGGACTTCATTCCTGCGGGATTTTCGCTTCGGATTCCGACCCAACCCGAAGCCTTCGAAGTCCCCCGGCCTCGATGCGCGCCGCACTGTCGGCGCCCCGCCGCTCCAGGAGTTCCTCAGTGGAAAGTCAGCCTGGTGATTCCAAACTTGGTGCGAGAGGGAATGACCTTCCGGGTTTTGGGAATGAACCGGAAGGTATTCCCGAACAAAGGAAACTCATTCTCTCATTCCCAGCAGGCAAGGTTCGATTCCCATCTGTTCAAGGGAGCACCAGGTTCGGCATGGGCTGACCCCAACATGGGGGTGACCTGACCTATCCAAAACGCTTCCCCTGTGCAAGAAAATTACCCTCTCACCAGCGTCGAACCCGCCAGAAATCCCTCTTAGAGGAAAATGATCCAGTCTCCCCAGTCACGTTCAATGCATGCTATTTGGTGGTGGAATTCACCGCAATCGATCATGTGGAGTGTTCACCCTTGCATGAGAGGGCCGGGGGTACAACCATTGTTCTAGCGTTCCATTCATGACACACAGTAAAGGAGAAATGGAAAACTTCAAGAATCGAAATCTCCCTCCCCGCAATCAGCCATGATCGGTGGAGATGTGGATGCAATACGGGACCCTATAGCTTACCAGGAAGACATGGTAGGATGACCTGCATCATTTAGCGGGAGTGTGAAAAACACAAGCGGGCGACCACTTGGGAGTGCTGTTCGTTCTTGGCTGCACAGGCTGCTGCTGATATGTTGCTCAAGGTTTGCCGAGGGTCATTGCTCACCTGCTGGGAAGCCAGAAAAATTGACAGTGCACATGCCAGCCCCCGCCACACCCCACCACACCCCACCACACCCCACCCCAGCCACACCCCACCACACCCCACCCCAGCCACACCCCACCACACCCCACCACACCATACCACACCACACCCCACCACACCCCACCACACCCCACCACACCACACCCCACCACACCCCAGCCACACCCCACCACACCCCACCACACCACACCCAGCCACACCCCACCACACCCCACCACACCCCACCACACCCCACCACACCCCACCACACCACACCCCACCACACCCCAGCCACACCCCACCACACGCCACCACACCTCACCACACCCCACCCCAGCCACACCCCACCACACCCCACCCCACCACACCCCACCACACCCCACCACACCACACCCCACCACACCCCAGCACACCCCACCCCACCACCACACCCCACCACACCACACCCCACCACACCCCACCACACCCACCACACCCCACCACACCCCACCACACCACACCCCACCACACCCCAGCCACACCCCACCACACCCCACCACACCCCACCACGCCACACCCCAGCCACACCCCACCACACCACACCCCACCACACCCCACCACACCCCACCACACCCCACCACACCCCACCGCACCACACCCCACCACACCCCACCACACCCCACCACACCCCACCACACCCCACCACACCCCACCCCACCCCACCACACCCCACCACACCCCACCACACCACACCCCACCACACCACCACCCATCCACCCCAACCAGCCCCCGCCACAGGATCTCGAATCCCCCGCCTTCAGCTCGCCGGCCCTCAGCTCCAGCTGCTCCCGGCCCTGCTGCGACACCTTCTCCGCCAGCTCCCGCGCCAAGGCCTTGGCCTCCGTGACGCCTCGCTCGGAACTCGCTCGGCGCGCGCTCGCTCGCTCGGCGCACGCGCGCTCGGCGTGCGCTCGGCGCTCACTCGTCCCAGCCCCCGACCCCCCCCCCCCTTGCGCAAGCGCGGGGGGGGGGGGCCGCCGGAAACCGACGGGGAAACCGAGGGGAATGAAAGAAACAAAAACAAGCGCTTAGCAGAAAAATCACCCAGCAACGCCACCCCATGTTTGAAGGATTGGATCTTGTTCAGGGTGAGTGTTGGCTTGGTGATAGAGATTTAAGGATTATTTGTCGGGTCGCAAATTGGTCTGGCATATGGCGCAGTGCTTCCAGTTGCCATGGTACTAGTTGGCAAACAAAGGGAACCACCATCTGCAGCTAAAAAAACTCCCGGTAACGTTCAGGGTGGGTCAAAAACAGGGAACCCTGCAATTCACCAATGAAGTGCAGGTACTTTGAGGGAAAGATTGCAATTGCATTTTTTGCCCAAAAAAGGGGTGGGGAGTCCAAACTTGCCGCAAAAGGACTGGATGCCAGCTCAGAGGCCCGGGCGATCCTGTTTGCCTTGGGATCCTTGTTGCGAGGAGTCTGTCTTCGTTGCTTGTCTTTGTTTTTTGTTTGGGCCACGTTGTTTGTGTTGTTTTGCTTGGCTTTGGGATCCTTGGAATCCCACTCAGGCGTTTTCTTGGTGGTTGGGGTTGGTGGTTTGGACTTCAGATATTTGAACCCCTTCTTGTAGAGGGTAAATGAGAAACCACCACCGACCCACCGACCCACCGGGCTCCAAACCAGCCAACCCATCAGCCTTCCAGGCCCTGCGTGGAAGAGGACGACACCCGCTCCAGCCGGCCCTCCAGACGCCGCAGGGACTCCTCCAGCTGCCTGACACAGAGGCTCAGCTCGCAGAATTTTCTGACAGATCGAGCGGGAGAATTTGCTTTCCATGGCCCCAGAGGGGCCAATCTGCAGGAGGAGTTTCTTCAGGAGGCTCCAGGAGCGGGACTTGTACCCGCCCGCCCTTTTCAAGGGGGGGGGGGCATGCATACCCTCCCACCCTTGTCATAAGGGGCCCTCCCACCCTTTTCATAGGGAGGGCATGGATGCTCTCCGTTCCGGGATTCATGGTTTGGACCATTTTCCGAAAGGACCTTTTCCCGAACGTCAGGTTCCATGTTGATTGGTGGGGGTTCCCAACATGGCCCCCAAGAAGTCCGATTCCCCAAAAAAAATGCTCTAAAAGCCAATAGGTTTGAGGTCCAAATCTGCAGGAGCCTATGGAGCACATACCACTGACCCTCCTGCCAACAAACGAACATAGTCTGGTGCTGCTGGGAAGGAGGGTATGGTTTTTGAGGTATGCAGCTTATAGACCCCTACACCCTTAGGCTAGGGATACAACAATGTCTTACGAACTCCATACGGGTAGCAAAGCTGCCGGCCCTCCAAAAAGCCATCTTGAAATATCGGCACGTTTGTGGAAATGCCCAAGTGGTTGATGTCCGTCCCATACCTGTGTAATGCGATATACCGGAGTCCCAATACTGATTCACAGCAAGAGGAGTCATTCCAGGCCAACAGCGACCACTAGTGACTAAGAGTGTCGCCAACAAAGACCCTTGAGAGCCATCGTCGAAAACTCCGCACCTCTCGGCTGTTTGGCAGCGCTCCACTTCGGCCATGATGCCTGCCGCGCCGGGTTCGGTTTGGTGTTCCTCTTACAGCAACTTCGGGGGTTTCCTCAAAAAAACAGACCAGTACCCAAATGATAAATATGTCCCCTTTTTGCGAGTGATTCCCATCCCAGGACTACTATGTCGGGCACATTCTGTGCGTGGGCAACAACCCAACTTTTTGCCAAATGAGGTTCAGTTGTTCGACTACCCCAAGTAGACTTAAACCCACAGGGCTGGTTGCCATCCCCAAAACCGGAAGGTCCACCTTGGTGCAATCGACGGCGGAGGGGGGTTGTCCATCCTAGGATTGTCACATTACCCTTTGACCCGGTTGGCAAAGGGGTCGAACATTTGGGAAGGGAAACCAAAGGAAAACAAACCAATTCTGAATGTCTGTGTGACTGATCGATTGTTTGTTTATTGTTTGTTTGTTCCTGTGTTTGTTTGTTTACTTTAAGTGGGGACTGCTGTTGCAGTAGCATAAATAAACTGTGCAATTTTGCCAACTGGGAATTTGAAATGGGGACCCCAAAACCCCCTCCGCCCCCCCGCTGGGGAGGTATCGAGAATTCGCCCAGACGAATTGCCGCCAGAAACATTGCAAGGTTGCTGTCAAGCATTGCCTTTTTACAGGAATGGCGATTGCACATACTCAAATGTTTGGATGAGCCTTCCTTTGTCCACCTTCCAATTGCCATGCCATGGAAGCCACTCGGCTGATCTCAGCTCCAGCTTCCACCCCAAGCCTCCAAAACATGGAAGTGCCAAACTCCGCCTTATGCCTCCGCTGCCATGGGGAATGCCCTTCAGAGCGTCCTTCGGCGCCTCCAACCCCCCCGCGCGCCTCGACGGGCCTCGACCAGGTCGACGGCAGCCTGCTGCTGCAGCTGCTGATGCTGCTCCATGTTGCTGACCTTCAGCGCCTCCACAGGGCCACGTGGCGTTTGGCGTTTTCCGGCCGGGTGCATTTCGGGGGAGCCGTTGGGCTGACCTTTGCAACCTGCGCCTGACATCCGATCGCACCAAAAAAAACCGGCCGAACACAGGTGCGTTTGGTGGCGACGAAAAGCCGCGTCTTGAAGAAACAAATTGGTGGCTGTGAACCAAACGCCCTCATCGACCGAGCGCCTTTTTTGACCCCGAGAAGAAAGCGGCCCTCCGCTTTAACACGTGCTCTAAAGTTTCCGGCCCCCCCCCCTCACGTTTTAGCCAAGCCGAGGGCACCAGGTGCCTCCAGCTTGGAGCTGCTCTCAAGGCCTTGCTGCTCCATCAGCTCCTGCGTCCGGAGTTCCATACTGATTCACCCGCTTGCGTTCAGCACCCTTCCTTGGTGATTTGGGAGAAATCCCAGATCATGCAATTGGGGTGAGGTAGAATAAGCCAGCGAAGATAGATAAACCTTCTGTAGAAAAATTGGCGTGAAAGCAACCTTCATCAAAGAACTTGGTTTGAACCTTCTGATATCTTACAACAGTCGCTTCAACTGCAGGAAGTCACACCTGTTTCTTCAAAAAGTGAAGCGGCTTCGGGCTCCGCTTGCTTGTTTTTGCCTGGCAGCTATTGTAGGCTGCATTTTGAAGGTGAACCGGAAGCCATGAACCTGTCTTCACAGAGTGTGGTTAAACTAAGCGTCCACCCATTTACAAGGATCCGATGTTGGTATCACCTGGAGTCACCTACCACCCTGCATCTCACCATACCATGTGCGCTTGATGCCATCTGTTTACCTTGACTAAAATGTTTCGGAGGCTGCGCTGGGTATAAAAAAAAAACGTCGGAATGGCCCTTCTGCCGCTGTAACCCTAACCCGAAAAGGGAAACCGGTCACCCTTACCGGGAAATCCTGAGATTCCTTCAAAGTCCTACCAGGGAAGATACCCCCCCAAACAAAGAACAGGGGTAGACTTCCCGAGACATGCCCCAACGGAAAACCAATTCGTCTCTGTGCCCGGAATTGAGCCATTCTATCCCAGCCGACTAAAATGGCTCTGATTTTGATGAAGACCAAAAGGGGCCAAGCTTAAATCGAACGGATGCTGATCAATTGAGGGAATAGTGTTCCTTGTTTTGGCCTCACGGAAGGGAAAACCAAAAAAAACAACGTCAAGCTGACGCAACGGAAAGGAGAAAAAACAAAGCTCAAAAGAAAAAAACCGACCCCCCCCCCAAAAAAAAAAAACAGACCCTTTTCCAGAGCCGGTAATTACCTTTCCAGCAAAACGGACCGGTGCCTTGAGGCCAAGACCCCCGCCTTCAGCTCCTCGCGCTCCCGCGCCTCCGAGGCCTTCAGCTCCGCGAGGCCTCGCGAGGCTTCGCGCGGCGTGTGGCGGGTTAGCGAGGCATCCAGAAACCGCAGCACCCGTAGCCAGGAACCCATGGAAAACCAGAACCTTTGTGGGTAAAAAAAAAAGAAAAAGAAAAAAAACAGATTAAAAACAAACAAAACTGAGGAAATCAGCATTTCCAAGGAACAAACTTTGGGGTTTCTGGCTCAGTTCCCCTGCAAGACAAGCATGGTGAAATACCAAGGGTTTGAAGTTGTCATCCAAAAACCGCACCGCAACCAGGAACCGTTCGGACTTTCTGACTTTCCGATTCGAGTCTCCCCTGCAACAAAGGAAATTGGTTTCAACTTCAAGGTGGTGCAAGATTTCGTCCACCCGCAGTATGGGTGTGCCGGTTTTTGGTGAGGATCGGTACTCTACGCTTTCTTGGGTTGGTTTAAAGGGAAACCAACGGAAAACGGCCCGTGCTTCTTTTTGGGGGGCGTAGAGGGTGCCCATTTTTAGCGTGGTGTTCAAGAAAGGGAAGCCAAAAAGAAACCTTATTTTGTGCGGGGTCCCCCAAAAGCCCAACATGGATGCCGTTGGAACGAGAATCCGAAGAAGAAAACGCCTTTCTCTATCACCTGGTGGTCACTCACCAGGCGACTTCCAGATTTTCCCGCACTTCAGCTGCTTGAAGTGTGCGAATTAGACGGAGGCCGTATGTTCAACAGATTGTGCATCTTCGTGTGCTTCCTTGCCAAAATGATTTGTTTGCGTGCAGGAAATCAAAGGGACACCGCATGATTGGCCAATTTTTTTGAGGTGAGAGCCCCCCTGTTCCCCTTTGCAGCCACCCCCACCCCCACCCCCCAACTCGTTTGTTTAAACCATGGATCATACCACGGATTTTGGCAGTCACAGCCTTTTTGAGTTCCCTTCCAAGGTCCATGCTTTTCAGGGAAGCAACCATTCCATCATCCAAATGACTATAACCCATACCCCTGGAGAAACGGCGCCATATGACCATGGGTCAAAACCCCGTACCCCCAGTGAACATCCCAATTCCCACTAAAATCGGTTCGAACATGGGCGGTGAATTCACCTATCCCAACCAAAATGGGATCAACCACAACGGTTTTGACCACCACAGCCATAAACGGCGCCATGGACGTCCCCCCGCGCCCTCCCGGCGGAGCCCCCGCCTTGCGCCGCCTGCGCGGCCGCCTGCGCCGCCAGCTTCTCTTGCCGCGCCTCTGCGGCGCGCTGGGACTCCTCCAGCTGCCTCCGCGCGAGAGCTCCGCGGCGGACCGGCGGACGCGAAAGCGAGGCATTCCGCGCCGAAAAGGGTCAGGGGTGGAAGCCATAAGGGCACCCGTTTTTTTTTTTTGGCTGTGGTCTATTTTAGTAGGGGAACCCTCCCCCAAAAAGGATACAAGGGCACTGCTGGGGGACCTAGTGGATCAACTGTGAATCGACTCATTCCAGGGTTTCTGGTGCGACATGGATTTCGCAACCATCCACAGCACGTCTGGATTGATTCATGGACCTACAAGGCGCGATGGGGCTTGTGGGGGGGGGGGGTTATTTCGTCTTGGGAAGTGTAGGGCCTTGAGGGGGTTTTTGACTCTGGGGGGGGGGATCCCTGGAAAAGCCCAGCATAAGCCAAGGAGAAGCTTAACAAGGCCTGAAGGGGTTAATTCCCCATAGCCCCTCTTTCGGGTCCATGATGAATACATAGCTGAAAGAAGGTACACATCTGCACAAATGTGTATACTTGTGTAACATCTGCATCACATGTTTCAATGTATGTCTGTCTGCCTGCCCGTACACATGCAGGCAAGCATGCAGGCAGGCATGTATATGCTGGGGGGTGAAAGGTATGTATTCACCAGGGAACCTTCTATGAATGGAACCTTCACCAGGCAAAGGTCGCATCGCAAACCCCCTTCCAAATACTACAATTCGCGTTTGGGCAGACCGACTGGACTTTCAAGTCCCAATCGGAATATAATGAATCAATTCATCCATTGATCATGTGATCAGGTACCCTTTCTTCGGTGGATTTAAAGGCTCATCTTTAAGAATTGGTCGACAGGCTCGTGTGGTTGACCCATCCGTCAAAAGACAGTGAAGCCTATAACATTGGATGATCTTGGACTCATGTGCACAAATGACCTGGATTGGAAAGATTACTTGGCCAGACTGAGACTTCGTGCCAAAAGTAGTCTGCTTTCTGGTTTTGCCAGCGCAAACCAAGGAAACCCAAACGGGCAAAACAAGCAAAACAGATCAGCGGGGTGCGTCTTTTAGGGGACCCCCCTCAATGGTGGTTTTCCTCATGGTTCTCCAAAGGAATGGTGAGAAGTTGAACTGGCCTGTTCGCCATCTGGCCAGGTCTGGTTTTCTGGTTTGCTTGGGCTCCCGTTCCTTGTTGTTGGTGGGTTTCGGTTGCCCTCTTTTCAAACTCCGCACTTTGGCGCTTGGTCAGATTGGAAGATCTTTATTAAAAAAAAAAAAAAAAAAAAAAAAAAAAAAACGGACTGGAAAGCCCCCCAAAAAACAAACACTGAAAAACCGAACATCGTTCCGCCGGGGAAAATCGGAAAATCGTTCCAAAAGCCCCCCAAAACGGCTCTCAGATTCCGGGCCCCCCGCGTCTCGGCGGACCGGCACGCTTCAAGGTCTGCAAGGAGACCTGCCGGGTCACGGCCATGGGAAACCACGGCCATGGCTGGGTGTTTTCCAGGGAAAACCTCCCCAGAGGTGTCCGGTTTTGCCGGAAAATCCCAGGGGGTTCCGTGGAAGATGGATGGCCTAAAGCCCAAAACCGGTCAAACCCATCTATTTCTAAGCCAACTAACCGATCAAAAGGCCGCCGATGGTCGCTGGATAACCCACCAAACACAAAGAGGGGTTGATGGGTGCCACATTGGGGCAACATCTGGCACGTCTTCGTTGCCCCGACCAGCTCCAGCCTCCCCCCCCGCCCCCCACAAAAAAACTCTAAGCACTACCTCCCCTCCCCCCCACCCCCCCCTCGCAAATACCTACCAAGCTCAACCCCTCAACCCCTCGCACCCCCCCAACGCCCCCAACCCCCGCTCGCACACAAGCCGCAAGCCGCGCCTCGCCGCGCCTGTGACAGCTCCTGGCAGCTCCTGCACGGAGCTTTCCGAGCAGAACGTTGATCCAGAAGAAACCGCAAGGGTCCGGATGGATGGCTCCCAAATCCTGCTAGCAGGTGGTGTATCAACCACTGTTTACAAGGTCTGATTTTCTGGTGTATCCCAACCCTGCGAATCGAATTTCGTCCACCCGCAGTCTGTTTCTTTGGGACCAAGTTTAGACGTTGATCCCTAGAAATCAAATCGTTCAGTCCTCGATTGGCGGCTGGTTTGCGCCCAGGCAAACCAAAGCACAATCTCTCCACCCTTGCAGGAAACCCCAAAACCGCCGCCCTTTCTTTCGCCTGGTTTGGTACCTTCCCCATTTGGTTTCAAAAGGAGGGGCTCAAATCCGAATCCGCCAATCCAAACCACCAATCTTGCTGGTGCTCAGGGCATGTGCGATGAACCCAGTCCGCGAAAAAAGGAAACCACAAGGAATGGTGTCTAAAGGTCGTTCCATTCCGTATTCCCTGTGCACCAGTAAGTTTAGGGGGATGTCATACCACACCTCAAGGAATGGTTGGCCATTCCATTCCTCATTCCCCCAGCACCAGTAAGTTTAGGGGGATGTCATACCACACCTCAAGGAATGGTCGCTAAAGGCCATTCCATTCCTCGTTCCCCGAGCACCAGTAAGTTTAGGGGGATGTCATACCACACCTCAAGGAATGGTTTCTAAAGGTCATTCCATTCCTCGTTCCCCGAGCACCAGTAAGTTTAGGGGGATGTCATACCACACCTCAAGGAATGGTTTCTAAAGGTCATTCCATTCCTTGTTCCCCGAGCACCAGTAAGTCTAGGGGGATGTCATAACACACCTCAAGGAATGGTTTCTAGATATCATACCACACCTCAAGAAATGGTTTCTACAGGTCATTCCATTCCTCACTCCCCGAGCACCAGTAAGTCTAGGGGGATGTCGTACCACACTTCAAGGAATGGTCCATTCCTTATTCCCTGAACGCCAGTGAGTTTAGGGGGATGCCACACCACACCTCAAGGAATGGTTTCTAAAGGCCATTCCATTTCTCGCTCCCCGAGCACCAGTAAGTTTAGGGGGATGTCATACCGCACCTCAAGGAATTGCTTTTTAAAGGCCATTCCATTCCTCGTTCCCCGAGCACCAGTAAGTTTAGGGGGATGTCATACCGCACCTCAAGGAATTGCTTTTTAAAGGCCATTCCATTCCTCGTTCCCCGAGCACCAGTAAGTTTAGGGGGATGTCATACCACACCTCAAGGAATGGTTTCTAAAGGCCATTCCATTTCGTTCCCCGAGCACCAGTAAGTTTAGGGGGATGTCATACCGCACCTCAAGGAATTGCTTTTTAAAGGCCATTCCATTCCTCGTTCCCCGAGCACCAGTAAGTTTAGGGGGATGTCATACCACACCTCAAGGAATGGTTTCTAAAGGCCATTCCATTCCTCGTTCCTCGAGCACCAGTAAGTTTAGGGGGATGTCATACCACACCTCAAGGAATTCCATTCCTCGTTCCCCGAGCACCAGTAAGTTTAGGGGGATGTCATACCACACCTCAAGGAATGGTTTCTAGATGTCATACCACACCTCAAGAATTGTTTTGTAGATGTCATACCACACCTCAACGAATGGTTTCCAAAGGTCATTCCATTCCTCATTCCCCGAGCACCAGTAAGTCTAGGGGGATGTCATACCACACCTCAACATTCCTTATTCGCTGAGCACCAGTAAGTTTAGGGGCATGCCACACCACACCTCAAGGAATGGTTTTTACAGGGGATTCCATTCCTCATTCCCCCAGCACCAGTAAGTTTAGGGGCATGCCACACCACACCTCAAGGAATGGTTTCTAAAGGCCATTCCATTTCTCGTTCCCCGAGCACCAGTAAGTTTAGGGGGATGTCATACCACACCTCAATGAATGGCTTCTGAAGGCCATTCCATTCCTCGTTATTCGAGCACCAGTAATTTTAGGGGGATGTCACACCGCACCTCAAGGAATGGTTTCTAAAGGTCATTCCATTCCTCGTTCCCCGAGCACCCGTAAGTTTAGGGGGATGTCATACCACACCTCAAGGAAGTTTCTAGATGTCATACCACACCTCAAGGTTTCTAGATGTCATACCACACCTCAAGGAATGGTTTCTAAAGGTCATTCCATTCCTCATTCTTCGAGCACCAGTAAGTTTAGGGGGATGTCATACCACACCTCAAGGAATGGTTTCTAAAGGCCATTCCACTCCTCGTTCCCCAAGCACCAGTAAGTTTAGGGGGGTGTCATACCGCACCTCAAGGACTGGTTTCTAAAGGTCATTCCATTCCTCGTTCCCCGAGCACCAGTAAGTCTAGGGGATGACATAACACACCTCAAGAAATGGTCCATTCCTTATTTCCCGAGCACCAGTGAGTCTAGGGGGATGCCACACCACACCTCGAGGAGTGGTTTCTAAAGGACATTCCATTCCTCATTCCCCGAGCACCAGTAAGTTTAGGGGGATGTCATACCACACCTCAAGGAATGGTTTCTAAAGGCCATTCCATTCCTCGTTCCCCGAGCACCAGTAAGTTTAGGGGGATGTCATACCGCACCTCAAGGAATTGCTTTCTAAAGGCCATTGCATTTCTCGTTCCCCGAGCACCAGTAAGTTTCGGGGGGTGTCATACCACACCTCAAGGAAGTGTCCATTCCGTATTCCTGAGCACCAGTAAGTTTAGGGGGATGCCACACCACACCTCAAGGAATGGTTTCTAAAGGACATTCCATGCCTCATTCCCCCAGCACCAGTAAGTTTAGGGGGGTGTCATACCACACCTCAAGGAATTCCATTCCTCGTTCCCCGAGCACCAGTAAGTTTAGGGGGATGTCATACCACACCTCAAGGAATGGTTTCTAAAGGCCATTCCATTCCTCGTTCCCCGAGCACCAGTAAGTTTAGGGGGATGTCATACCAGACCTCAAGGAATGGTTTCTAAAGGCCATTCCATTCCTCGTTCCCCGAGCACCAGTAAGCCCAGGGGGACACCTCAAGGAATGGTTTCTAAAAGCCATTCCATTCCTCGTTCCCCGAGCACCAGTAATTTTAGGGGGATGTCATACCACACCTCAAGGAATGGTTTCTAGATGTCATACCACACCTCAAGGGATGGTTTCTGGATGTCATACCACACCTCAAGGAATGGTTTCTAGATGTCATACCACACCTCAAGCAATTGTTTCTAGATGTCATACCACACCTCAAGGAATGGCTTCTAAAGGTCATTCCATTCCTCGTTCCCCGAGCACCAGTAAGTTTAGGGGGATGTCATACCACACCTCAAGGAATGGTTTCTAAAGGCCATTCCATTCCTCGTTCCCCAAGCACCAGTACGTTTAGGGGGATGTCATACCACACCTCAAGGAATGGTTTCGATGTCATACCACGCCTGAAGGAATGGTTTCTAGATGTCATACCACACCTCAAGGAATGGTTTCTAGATGTCATACCACACCTCAAGGAATGGTTTCTAAAGGTCATTCCATTCCTCGTTCCCCGAGCACCAGTAAGTTTAGGGGGATGTCATACCACACCTCAAGGAATGGTTTCTAAAGGCCATTCCATTCCTCGTTCCCCGAGCACCAGTAAGTTTAGGGGGATGTCATACCACACCTCAAGGCATGGTTTCTAGATGTCATACCACACTTCAAGGAATGGTTTCTAGATGTCATACCACACCTCAAGGAATGGTTTCTAAAGGCCATTCCATTCCTCGTTCCCCGAGCACCGGTAAGTTTAGGGGGATGTCATACCACACCTCAAGGAATAGTTTCTGGCTGCCACACCACGCTTCAAGGAATGGTTTCTAGATGTCATACCACACCTCAAGGAATGGTTTCTAAAGGCCATTCCATTCCTCGTTCCCCGAGCACCAGTAAGTTTAGGGGGATGTCATACCACACCTCAAGGAAAGGTTTCTAGATGTCATACCACACTTCAAGGGATGGTTTCTAGATGTCATACCACACCTGAAGGAATGGTTTCTAGATGTCATACCACACCTCAAGGAATGGTTTCTAGATGTCATACCACACTTCAAGGAATGGTTTCTAAAGGTCATTCCATTCCTCGTTCCCCGAGCACCAGTAAGTTTAGGGGGATGTCATACCACACCTCAAGGAATGGTTTCTAGATGTCACACCACACTTCAAGGAATGGTTTCTAGATGTCATACCACACCTCAAGGAATGGTTTCGAAAGGCCATTCCATTCCTCGTTCCCCGAGCACCAGTAAGTTTAGGGGGATGTCATTCCACACCTCAAGGAATGGTTTCTAGATGTCATACCACACTTCAAGGAATGGTTTCTAGATGTCATACCACACCTCAAGGAATGGTTTCTAAAGGCCATTCCACTCCTTGGTTCCTAGATGTAATTACACTTCAAGGAACGGCTTCTAGATGTCATACCACACCTCAAGGAATGGTTCTAAAGGCCATTCCATTCCTCGTTCCCCGAGCACCAGTAAGTTTAGGGGGTGTCATGGGGATGTCAGGTTTCTAGATGTCATACCACCTCAAGGAATGGTTTCTAGATGTCATACCACACTTCAAGGAATGGTTTCTAGATGTCATACCACACCTCAAGGAATGGTTCTAAAGGCCATTCCATTCCTCGTTCCCCGAGCACCAGTAAGTTTAGGGGATGTCATACCACACCTCAAGGAATGGTTTCTAGATGTCATACCACACTTCAAGGAATGGTTTCTAGATGTCATACCACACCTCAAGGAATGGTTTCTAGATGTCATACCACACTTCAAGGAATGATTTCTAGATGTCATACCACACCTCAAGGAATGGTTTCTAGATGTCATACCACACTTCAAGGAATGGTTTCTAGATGTCATACCACACCTCAAGGAATGGTTTCTAGATGTCATACCACACCTCAAGGAATGGTTTCTAGATGTCATAGCACACCTCAAGGAATGGTTTCTAAAGGTCATTCCACTCCTCAAGGAATGGTTTCTAGATGTCATACCACACCTCAAGGAATGGTTTCTAGATGTCATACCACACCTCAAGGAATGGTTTCTAGCTGTCATACCACACCTCAAGGAATGGTTTCTAGATGTCATACCACACCTCAAGGAATGGTTTCTAGATGTGATACCACACCGCAAGGAATGGTTTCTAAAGGTCATTCCATTCCTCAAGGAATGGTTTCTAGATGTTATACCACACCTCAAGGAATGGTTTCTAGATGTCATACCACACCTCAAGGAATGGTTTCTAAAGGTCATTCCATTCCTCAAGGAATGGTTTCCAGATGTCATACCACACCTCCAGGAATGGTTTCTAGATGTCATACCACACCTCAAGGAATGGTTTCTAGATGTGATACCACACCGCAAGGAATGGTTTCTAAAGGTCATTCCATTCCTCAAGGAATGGTTTCTAGATGTTATACCACACCTCAAGGATGATTCTAAGGCCATTCATTCCCAAGGAATGGTTTCCAGTGTCATACCACACCTCAGAATGGTTCTAATGTCATACCACACCTCAAGGAATGGTTTCTAAAGGTCATTCCATTCCTCAAGGAATGGTTTCTAGATGTCATACCACACCTCAAGGAATGGTTTCTAGATGTCATACCACACCTCAAGGAATGGTTTCTAGATGTCATACCATCCTCAAGAATGGTCTAGATGTCATACACACTCAAGGAATGTTTCTAGATGTCATACCAACACCTCAAGGAATGGGTTTCTAAAGGTCCAATATCCATTCTCAAGGAATGGTTCTGATGTCATAACACACCTCAAGGAATGGTTTCTAGATTCATACCAGACCCCTCAAGGAATGTTTCTAAAGGTCATTCCATTCCTCAAGGAATGTTCTAGATGTCATACCATACCTCAAGGAATGGTTCTAGATGTCATACCACACCTCAAGGGATGGTTTTTTAAAGGTCATTCCTATCCTCACGGAATGGTATTCTAGATTGACATACCACACCTCAAGGAACAATGGTTTTCTAGATGTGATACCACACCTCAAGGAAATGGGTTCTAAAGTCATTCCATTCCTCAAGGAATGGTTTCTAGATGTCATACCACACCTCAAGGAATGGTTTCTAGATGTCATACCACACCTCAAGGAATGGTTTCTGAAGGTCATTCCATTCCGCAAGGAATGGTTTCTAGATGTCATACCATTCCTCAAGGAATGGTTTCTAAAGGTCATTCCATTCCTCAAGGAATGGTTTCTAGATGTCATACCACACCTCAAGGAATGGTTTCTAAAGGTCATTCCATTCCTCAAGGCCACACCTCAAGGAATGGTTTCTAGATGTCATACCACACCTCAAGGAATGGTTTCTAAAGGTCATTCCATTCCTCAAGGAATGGTTTCTAGATGTCATACCACACCTCAAGGAATGGTTTCTAGATGTCATACCACACCTCAAGGAATGGTTTCTAAAGGTCATTCCATTCCTCAAGGAATGGTTTCTAGATGTCATACCACACCTCAAGGAATGGTTTCTAGATGTCATACCACACCTCAAGGAATGGTTTCTAAAGGTCATTCCATTCCTCAAGGAATGGTTTCTAGATGTCATACCACACCTCAAGGAATGGTTTCTAGATGTCATACCACACCTCAAGGAATGGTTTCTAAAGGTCATTCCATTCCTCAAGGAATTCCTTCCATTCCTCATTCCCCAAGCACCAGTAAGTTTAGGGCAACCAGTCCTTGAGGTGTGGTATGACATCCCATTCCTCATTCTTCGAGCACCTGAAAACTCAACTGGGAGCTTTCGGACGAGTCCTGCCCAACTCCTCCAGCTGCTGTTGCTGCTCCGCCGCCGAGGCCTTGAGCGCCTACGAAGAAAAGAGCGCGAGGGAGAGTCCTGGGACCCACACAAAAGGAGGAGCTGGGGCCTATGTAGGTGTGCCCTTTGTAAGGGACCATCCCAAAAGAGGGAGAGTCCTGGGACATTCAAAAGAAAATTGGAGGAGCTGGGGCCTTTCGTTATGTCGATGGCAGTCCAGCCCCCAGATCCAATCCAATTCCACTGTTTAGGGTTTAGGGTCAATTCCATTCCACTCAGCCTCCCAGCCCAGCTCAGCCTCCCAGCTTAGGTGTGCCCTTTTCTTCCAGGGACCAGCCCAAAATCCCAAATGGTGGGTTGTCCTCCCACGACCATTGCAACCAGAGACCGCATGGGAGTGTGCGGCCAAGCTGGGTTGTTGCCACCAACATTCACTCCCCCTGGAGAAACGAAGAAGGACAAAGCATAGGTTAAGAACATCCAAGTGGGGAAGTGTGGGTCAATCCCACGTTCTCAACGAATCTAGGTATGTCACTGTCTGTGGAGTTGGTACCCTTTCAAGAGGTGCTTTAACCTAGTTTCGGGGGAATCATTTGGACACAAACCCATGTCTATCCCAAGCTGCATGCGAAAACCTGCATTCTGTTGGTTAAAGCTTGCGTTTGACACATAACAGGCGAGAGTGAAAGGCCCTGCTTGCAGAAAGCAGCAAATCTGTCCAAACCATCCCCCGGATTCTTCCAGGCTAGACACGTGGGGCACATCGAAACCCTCGTGAAGAACCTCCCTGCTCGTTGTATTTACCAGTGGCTCACTGCGGATGGAGTGCAAGGGTCTATGACAGAAAAAAGGCAAGGGATGGACGTATAAGCCAAAAAAGCGAGCAAGCACTCAATGTACCTCATCCGCCTGCCCTCTTTGGAGGGCTGGAGGCTGAGCTACTAAGAAGCTTCCAAATAGTGTCCAAAGGCCAAGGGGTCCTGTCTGTTTGCGGGGTCTCTATCAAACACGCCAAGCCATCCTTGCAGGGTGTGCAAGCACAACTCAAAATGCTCCAGACACTCACGTCCCATCGAGATGGGCCCAGGGCTTCAGGGCGGGTCTTGGGGTTTTTAGATTGTCTTTGTGTGTTGAATCTTTGGTGGTCACATCTTTCCTTCTTTTTATGTGTTTGTTCCTCTCTCTTCTTTCATTTTTTTTTTGGGGGGGAAGGGGGTAGGCCTGCAAATGCTTGATTTATGACATGTTTTCGTTCCAATTTGTCACAGTTGGGCTCCCTGCGGATTAGCATGGCTTCGAGCTGTGAACTTGAGGGCCGATACCCACTGCGACACAGCCCAGAACGTCTGCACATCTGAAAACGGACCATTCTATACACGCGATCTAAGAGTGCATGCTCAAAACACGCATCTAGAAGCACTTGCGATGCACAATCGTCGGGCCACTCTCATCGTACTCGCCCTTGGAGATCCACATTTGCTGGAAGGTGCTCAGGGAGGACAGAATGGAGCCTCCGATCCAAACGCTGTACTTTCCTCGGTTGCTTGCTGCTCCCCAACTAAGAGTTTTTAGCTTTAGTGGCTTCATGGAAAACCTAGTCGTTGCCAAAAATTAAAGTCCTAACATCCCTTGGCAAAATGCACCAAAGTTTCGCTCAGGTGGGGCCACAACCTTGATCTTCATCGTGGAGGGAGCTAGCGCAGTCAGCTCCTTGGTCATGCGCTCTCCGATGCCCACAAACATGGTCGTGCCGCCTGAAAGCACCACGTTGGCATACAGGTCCTTTCTAATATCCACGTCGCATTTCCTTTGGTCTCAGACCCCCCGAAAAAGGGGAAAAAAAGGAAAAAACAACACACACACACACACACCCAAAAAAAGAAAACTCTTTGGAGAGAAACTGTCACTTCGCCAAGAGGTTCCCTCGGAGGGTCAGACCAAAGAGCAACCTGGTAACCAAGTGTCACTTCACAACCCTTGGTCTGGTAGCAAAACACGTTTTCTGCAGCCCCCTGCAAAAAATGAACAGACTCCAAAAAACAATAAAACACAAAAACATGATTCAAGAATAGTGCAAGTCAAAAGGATGTAAACCAGTGGAACCCATCAAACTAACCGATGAAAAGGACGCCTACTGTGGATGGACGAATCCTGCACCACCTGACAAACCCTGGAATGGTTCGATTCCCCATCGTAAATACCAATCAAAAAGGGCTTTCTTCCCATGGTTTCATTTCGTGGTGCGGCTCTTCCGGATTTCGATTTCAACCATCAGTAAGAAAAACCAGAAGGCAAAACAAGAACACCAAACAATTCCCAGAGACCCCAAACAAACCTCGACCCTTTCGGAGGGTCACTGGGGAACCCACCTTCTCCAAGCTGATGGGTGCTGCTGATACATGCCAGGTGGTTAGTTTCTTTGGGGGTTCCAACTTGAAAACCATCCCTTGAACCAAACCATGATTAGAGTTGGGCCCAGTTCTAGAATGTATATTTTATTGTTTGCTTCACTTTGAGTCACTGGTAAAATGTAAAATGTATCCTCTCTCTACCCCAGCAACCCAGAGACCCCACCAAACCAAACAGCTCGACGGCTTTCGGATCCGAACCCAGCTTCCTTCTGTTAGTCCGAGGGAGTGTATGAAGCTTACGGTCACTGGGGAACCCACATGGGTGCCACAGCTGCCACTTCTCCACACTAAACATGCCAGGCGGTTCGTTTCTTTAAAGGTTCCAACTTGAAAACCATCCTCAAGGTCCTACAATAAGACACATGCACTGTGAACTCAAAACACCAAACAAATTCCCAGAGACCCCACCAAACACAAAAACATCTCGACGGCTTCCGGATCCGAACCCCAGCGGCATGATGGACTGGAAGGTGGTACCGCGGATGCCGCTGGCCGCCTTCCCCACGAAGCCGGGCAACAGCACCTCCGGGCAGCGGAACCCCTCGCTGCCCGCGGTGATGTTGCCGTCCGGCAGCTCGCAGGTCCTCTCCTTGGGGCGGAAAAAAATGGATAGAAACGTAAATGCTGCGGATGGACGCGGAATCCATAAACCGCACCACTTGGAAACCGTGGTTGAAGCCATGACGTTTGTTGGCATTTACGTTAGGGGAGTCATCATTCCAGGGTTTCTTAGGCGGTGCAGGATGTCGTCCGCCGTCCACAGTATGTATGTATGAACGGTAAGGTTATGTAACGTATTGTAATGCACTGTACTCTACTGCAACGCGATGAAGTGATGTGTGTTGCAACGCAACGTGATGTAATGTAATGTAATGTAATGAATAGTAATGAAATGTAATGACATGTAGTGAGATGTAGTGAAATGTAATGGAATCTAATGAAATGAAATGTAATGTAATGCTATGTTGTATCATGTTATGTATTGTATACATATACACCAGGTTGGTGAATCCTTGATGCCCATAGCCAGGCCTCTATACTTCCCAGTGGTCTCTTGTTTTAGCGAGCCTGATGCTGTTTTGCCATTTGCCACGGTTTGTTGCTTCCGCCTTTTGGGCTTTTTGGTGGTGTTGAACATTGCCTCTTGGCATTGGCAAGGCTGGGTCCTCCAGTAGAGGGGTTAGAACAAGGGTGACAACTTTTTTCTGTAGTCTATTTTAGTAGGGGAACCGAATCTCCCCCAAAGAAGTTGGTCAAAGGGCACTGCTGGGGAACCTAGAAGGCCAATTCGAAGTGAGTCTCCTTGTCGCTGCTCTCGGAGGCGGCCTTCATCTCGCTGTCGAAGTCCAAGGCGATGTAGCACAGCTTCTCCTTCACGTCTCAGCTACTCCTTCTCGCGCTCCGCCGTGGTAGGAGTAGCCGCGCTCGGTGAGGATCTTCATCATGTACTCCGAGTACGGTCGCAAGGTCGCCAAAGCGCAGGATGGCGTGAGGCAGCGCGTAGCCCTAGATGGGCACGGTGTGGCTGACGCCGTCGCCGCTGTCCATCACAATGCCAGTGGTGCGCCCGGAGGCGTACAAGGACAGCACCGCCTGGATGGCCACGTACATCGCCTAGCTTAGCAGCCAAAGAGAACAGCAACGGCTCAAATTGGCTTCAACTGAGGACAGCACAAACATGACACCAGTGACATTGGCCCAGGCGCAGGGACGTTGAAGGTCTCAAACATGATCTGGGTCATGCGCTCACGGTTGGCCTTTGGATTGAGCGGTGCCTCGGTCAAAAGCACAGGGTGCTCCTCAGGGGCGACACGCAGCTCGTTGTAGAAGGTGTGATGCCAGATCTTCTCCTTTGAATTGCCGGTCGAACAAGGCATTCTCTCCGAAAGGTCCAACCCGCAAACCAAACGTCACAGGGAAAAAGTTGCAGAGGTCATCGAAATCAGTAAAGCTTCCATATCATCCCAATTGGTCACGATGCCATGCTCAATGGGGTACTTCAGGGTGAGCACACCTCGCTTGGACCGGGCTTCGTCCCCCACGTAGCTGTCCTTCTGATCCATGCCCACCATGCCAGGCATCTTGGGCCTGCCGACCTGGGGTCCTTCCCCGGCTTTTATCACTCCCAGCTCAGCAGCTGGGTTCTTTTGTAGATTGCCGCAAAAGTGAAAACTTTCCCATCCCATCCCCCCTTTGGCCAAAGTCTTCCATCCCCTTGTCAGAAAAGTATTGGCGCCCAGCGGCGATGGATGGGAAGACGGCACGGGGCGCGTCATCGCCGGCAAAGCCAGCCTTGCACATGCCGCTGCCATTGTCCACAACGAGCGCGGCAACCTCCTCGTCACCCATTCTGAACTCGCTGTCAAAGGACCGGAAAATGCGGAGGACTTGAGCAACTGGTGCTTCGGAACGACGGCGCTCTCGTATGGCCGTGCATTTCTAAGTGCAACGCAAAAGCATGGGATTAGTCTAGTAAACCACGGATTGCATATTTTTATGGCGGGGCGCATTGTGCAGGGGATCCTTCACTTTTCGGGGAAACACGCCAGGCTGATAAGACCAGGGTCAGTGTTACCCTTCCCAACAGTCCCGTACACTTTCCGGAGCTACCGTAGAGGCCACCGGTCAGCAATTCTCACTCACGCAGGCCGTAAACTCTGGGAACACCATGGCCCCGTGAGGTCGAACCTGATACCTTTTCTCCCTGGCCTTGCTCTCCAAGTCAAATCCGCTGCCCGATCAGCGACCAGCAGATCCAAAAGAGCTGGTACGCTACAGCCCTGTCCTTAAAGGAGAATAATCACCGAACTCCGCGTCTCAGAATCAAAGTTCAGCTGTCTTTTTCCTGGAGACTTTGGGGGCCGCATGCCACCGTCGGAAAGCTTGGCTTGGCCTGCAAAATTCAACGTGGAACCTCCTTTTGGGGACC